AGAGCAACCAACCAAAGGACGGCAAAAGCCCAAAGCCAATGACATGAAGCAAGCAGTAGCTCTGCTTTTGCTTAAGCTTTGGCGAGAGGGTACACCCCACCCCCTGCATCTCAGAAGGCGCCGTTATATATACAGCTCAGGAGAGTCGTGCTCATTGGCAGACCAATTCACTAATTCAAACATGTCTACTAGACATTCACTCTGATCTGCTTGATGCTAGCAACTGTGCCCAGTCTTAGAGCACAGGGAGAGAGATGGGGGGGCACACGTGTTGACAAATCGGTGCTAGAAAATGGCCCTGGGTTGCCAGAGCCTCCTCCTAGGGGCAGGCTGGGCTCTCTGGAGTCTCCCTTCTGCAGTGCTCCCTTTTCGCAGGTCTCTTTGGGACCCCCCGCCCCCGTGGTGTGCCAAGTCAAAAGGCTGTGGTCGCCTCCAGTCTAGCTCTGCTCCTGGGGGGGGGGTGTTGGGGAACACACGAATGACCCGCTGCCAAGGCTTCTAGTGTCTCGCGACACTTCCTAGTTGCCCAGGCTTTCTTCTTCTCCACCGCTTGCAGTCCTGGGGCTGGGTGTGGCAGAGAGGGATGGAAAGAAGGCTGCCTCACACCTCAGACTACCTGGGCCCGGCCTCGAGTGGCAGGCTCAGCGGCACAGGTGGGACCCGTGCGCTGCCGTTGGTCTCTTGGGGGCTTCACAAGGAGAAGACACTAGCCCAAGCCTGGGGCTTTCCTGGGCTCTCCGGACAAACAGAGCCTCAGTTTCACAAGCTCTGGACACCACATGCAGATGTGCCCGGGGCCTTCTGGAGAAACCATGGGGATGAGAAGCGCCGTGGGCGTGGAACCCTGTTTCACATGCCTCGCTCAGCCAGATGGCTCTTCCAAGTTTCTCACAGAAAAAAATGTGAGCCTGAAGATTGTATCGGCAGAGAGGATGAAGGAAAAGCTCCTTCAGCAGATCCCATCACCGCATAGGCAGCTCGTGAGGTCACGTCTGGTGATCACAGAATCATCTTAATTATTTATTAATGTATACAGGGCCGGGGAAAACTGGCACTGCTCCCCTACAGTATAAACTCCCCAAGCCAAGTCCAAAGACTACTTGGCAAAACCACGAAGATGAGCAATCAGCCCCAGACCACACTTTAGGAGTCGGAGTAGGTGATACATTGTCAGCTTTCCAAAACCACCTTCCAGACAATCCGGGCAGAACTGTGTCCCCGCTTACCCTGACCGTGCTTCTCTCCGTGCGTGGCACAATCCCGCGGGGACGGTGGCTGGGCTCACTGCCCCTTCTGTAAGCTGATCCAGTCAGTCTCCACGGGGCTCCAGCATCAGAGTAACTGCTGCCTAAAGCTCATCCTGGGTACCCGGTGGCAACTAAGACCTAAATGGAGGATACACTGTCCAAGGTGACAACAACCACTCACCGATGCCCCAGGGTTCCTGACTTGGATCCAGTGTTCTTTGCACCACACAGTAGAAGGTGCAAAGAAGCCATTGTTCCGGACCTCACCCGTGCACGCTCCTCCTCCGTGGCTCCGGTGTCCACCTTGCAGGATGGAGCATGGTGCAGGCTGGGTTTGGGAGCCCAGCTCAGAAATGGATGCCTGCGATGACCCAGCAGCTGCTCACATGCTCATACTCCTTTGCAAGGACAGGCCGTGTGTGCTGGCTCTACCCCACTGGTGGACCAGATATGGAGACGGGAGCTGGAGAGATGGCTCGGTTGGTCAAGTACTTGCTGTGCAAGCATGAAGACCTGGGTTTCGTAAAGGTGGCCACAGCAATGAGCACCTCTAATTCCTGCATTGCGGAGACAGGTGGAACTCTGAAGCTTGCTGGTCGACCTGCCTGGCCTCCACATATGTGCATGCACACACAGACACACACACACACACACACACACACACACACACACACACACACACACCTCTACACAGAGGGCGCTGTGTGTACATATCTCCCTGTTTCCCGTAAACATACTCTCACACCCTGTGGCTTATGGCTATAGTTGCCTGTTTACAGAACTTGACTTAAAACCATAGTCAGCTAAAAGCCCCATTGAGAAAGTCCCACAGACACGCCTCTGCCACTGTCCTTCCTAATCCAATGCAGGAGTCACATCCCGTAACATCGTTCCAAACCTAAGTGACTGGGGGAGAAACTGCATGCTTACACTTCCGGGTAACGTGGTGCACTGGAGGCTATCTTAATGTGAGCCGTTGACGGAAGGAGTTACAATAGGAAATTCTTATTTCATCCCAAAGTGACATAGAAGAAGAACTTCAAAACTCCGTGGAGGACAGACACAGTGGCATATTCCTTTAATCTCAGCAGGTGTGTCTGTGTGAGTCCAAGTCTAACCTGCCTGCACCCTGAGCTCCAGGCCACCCAGGGTTACACAGTTTTGCTTTTGTTGTTTGTTTGAAGTGAACAGAACCAGGAGAGAAGAAGCAGCGTACATACGCACCTTGGTTTAACCCATCTGTACTGAAAAGCAGTTGGGGGGCGTAGAGGAACACCACAAAGAATATTGAGGTGTGTCACCCCGGACACCCTGGGAAACTTCCATGCAGCTTCTCTCTGTCAGGCTCCTCTTTACCAGTGAACCCACCGTCTCTCAAGTGCCACCATCTTTAGCAGAAGCTTGGCTACTGTGAGTCTCGTAGCCTCCTGAGCACTTGGACTCATTGCCCATCATGGCCACCTACGTTTGGCAATTGAGGAAATCTGGGGCTGGGCGATTAAAGCCTGACCAAGACCTGTGGCATGGAGTTCAGAGTACATCAGAGCAAAGGGGAAACCTGCCAGGCTTCTAGAATCAAAGGACACAGCACTAGAAAGGACTGCAAGAGGCCACTGGGTCATTTGCTTCCCCACAGATGGATAATAAAACTATCCAAAGCTAATTATTGTCTGGGAGCAAAGGCCTCTGGACACCTCCGCCCTCTCCCCGCGCTCCATGCCCAACTCTCCATGGCTGGTTACTTTGGCTTACCCTCCCCGCCAGGGCTTAACAGGGCCAGGGTCTCTCTGGCCGGTGACCCTGTGTTTGCTCTATCTAACTTGTAGGCCTGAACTGCCAGCCTGGTTAGGCTCTGTGGTGCTGCGGCACGCAGTGCAGACGCTTCTCTTATGTGGCCTCTTTTATGCTAGACCTGAAGGCCGGACAAGTGTGCTTCCTTGATCCACCCTCTCTCCAGAGATGAGGAGGGCCGTGAGGCGAATAAGGCATCGAGAAACAGCAGCGTTCATGGCCACAGTGAGCTGCAGGGTGCCAGGCTCTAGGCTGATGGGAGGGGGGGTTTTCAGATCCTGTGTTTATTGAGTCAATGGACTCTTGATTCATATAGGTCTTGCTCTTGGGGGGTGGGTTCAAGGCATTCTAAAAATGGGAGGGAGATGGGCAGACTTGCCCGAAACTCCTCTGGCTTCACAGCGCCTCTTTCCCCTATCTTCAAAAGCACCAACTCAAAGCCTTTCGAAAGAGCAGCATGAAACGAGCCAGCAAGCCACGGCTCAGGGAGACCCCTTCGAATGTGGCTCTCAACCTGCACTGAACCAGCGTGGACAAGCCTGGAACCTAAAAGTCCTTCAAATGCTGGGGCCAAGTTTTGAACACTGTAAAGCTGCCAGTTTCTTCTTGATATTTTCCCACCCTCCCACCCCCTTCCGCTGAACCCGCAGGGAAGAGCTGGGCTCTGGGGTGACTCCCACACACGGGCGCTTGCTTTGCGGAGCCTCCTTTGGAGGTAAATGGTCCACAGGTGTGTGAATCAGCTGCTCTTGAACTGCTACCACGAAATGCTTTAACTGCAAAACGACTTCCCTTAAAGCCAGTTTTCCCAAAGGCAAACCACAATATTTCAAACGCGGTGCGGGGGGGGGGGCACTAAGGAAAGGCTGGGCAGATCCAGCGCCTCTTCTCCTTAGGTGTCCACTGAGCCCCGCTGTGCTGCTGCAGGCAGAGCCATAACTCAGAATCCAAGGCCAGTGCTCCCCCCCGGAAAGTGTGGAGGACCAGGAGAGAAATGCAAAAAACAAGTGTTCGTGCCTGGTGATGCACGTCTGTAATCACTGCTAACCCCAAATGGGGCGGGAAGTTTGGAAGTTCAAGACCAGCCTGGGCAAGACTTTGTCTTTTTTTTTAAATAATTTATTTTAACTTTATTTTATGTGCAGTGATGTGAGATCCCCTGGAACTGGACAGTTGTGAGCTGCCATGTGGTTGCTGGGAATTGAACTCAGGACCTCTGGAAGGGCAGCCAGTGATCTTAGCCACTGAGCCACCTGGCCAGCCCCAAGACTTTGTCTTAAAGTAACATTAAAATGTGCCAGAGATGTAGCTCAGTAGTAGAGGGAATGCCTAGCACATGTGAGGCCTTGTATTTAGTTCCCAACAGCAGTAAAACCAGCCAACCAACCAACCAACCAAACAAACAAACAAAAACTCACTGGATTATGAATGGAAAGGTAAGCATTCAGACCAGCAGGGACAGCCTGATATAGGACAGCCACAGCGTGCAGCAGAGGAGAGGAATGCAAGGGAACATTTCTTCTGAATGGCGGAGAAGACCTTAGCTGAGGTGGCGGAGCAGTCTGGGACAAGGAGGCCATCGCAGAATGGGGTGGGGATGGGCGTGGGCGGTGGATGGGGCACAGAATTCTGCAATTAGTGGCTTAACACAGTAGCTAGGCAATTTTATAAGAAGGTACACAGCGTAAACCAAAACTCCCAGAAAAATCAGATTCTGGAGAAGGTCAGAACAAAACCAAGCAAGCGGAAAGGAAAGAAATGAAAACTCCAAGGCTGTGGGGCCCTAAACTAGCAAGCTAAGCATTATCACCCAGCATTTGGATCCTAGAAAAAGCAAGGCTGCCACCCCTCTCGTCTTCACCCTTTATCAGCCTCTTATTAACATGGCTTGGTCCCCACAACCCTCATCCCTACCCCACCCCCGGGATAATTTTGAAATGAATTATCACAGCACTCCATCAGTAAATATTTCAGTTGTTTTATTAGCATTTAGATGTGAGCAAGATCAAATTATACAGGTCAGAGCATGTTTCAAAAAAAATTATGAAACTGGAGATCTTGGCACAATGAAAGCATCCCCAGGCCAAGCCCTTGGCATGTTTATTCCTAGTTCTTTTCTGTTCAACAGCATCCCGGCGGCTCAGGAGAGTTCTCAGGGGCTTTGGAGGAAATGAAATGAAACGGAGGGTACCCAGAGCCGTTGGCTTCGCTGCAGTCCGTGGACACACGTGGACACATGTGGACACACGTGGACACGTGGACACACACAGCATGGATCAGATGAACATCTCAGTAACGCATGCCCTGTCATCAGCCAGAGTCTGCCCAGAGCAGCCAGTGGAATCTGAGGATGGCTGAGCAGTCTGGGGCAGGGAGGCCAAAGTGGAATGGGGTGGGGATGGGCGTGGGTGGTGGATGGGGCACAGAGGGTCCGGAGGCTCAGAAGAGGGATGTGAAACTGAGTGGGAGGCAGGGAACAAAAGTGGAGGGCGTTATCCTGGAATGAGGATGAATCATGCAGAAAATGAGGCGCTTTCCCAGTGCTACTCTGAGTAACACCCTCGCACGTGTGTGCGCGCGTGTGTGTGTGTGTGTGTGTGTGTGTGTGTGTGAGAGAGAGAGAGAGAGAGAGAGAAAAAAACCCTCCACAGAGGGTGGGGGTGGGGGACTGAAGAGCACATGCAGCCCTTGATGGTGATGTAGAGAGGACACGGTGTACAAGGCGTGTGTTGAGAGATGGGACCCTTCCCCCCAACCCCAATCTCACACCCATGCTCTTCATGAAAAGAGCAGCCTGGCTAGTTATCTCTGGGTTAGCTAAGCTGTGGGAAAGGGGCTGACGTGTGAGCTTGGAGTGACTTTTGGATAGTATCCGTGAACAGCGGGAGGGCCTGGTCCACGCGTGAACTGGAACACTAGGAACCAGAACAGTGCACAAGCCCACACCTGTGAGGCACTGATGTGTCGGTCACTTTCCGAAGCACACGCTATCACATTGAGCCCTGATGGTGAACTCCGGTGTTCTCACTCTGTCATGGGGAAACTGACACTTGTACGCCTACCCAAGACCCATTTGGTTATAAACTGGAAAATCAGAATAGATGTCCGTCTTTCTGAATTCCAACTGCACCGTTGTTGCGGCTTCTCCAGCCAGGCTAAGGTGGACAGCATCACTACAGACACCTCGGATTTTATCATTCAATCAATCAAACTCCAGAAACATTCATTAAATGCTGACCCCAGAGTGAGCCTAGCCAGGCTCTCTCACTGGCAGAAGCTCTGACAAACATCCCCCGAAGCAAGCACAGGGATGAACTGCAGGGACTCATGGACACTTACCGATAGTCAAGCAATAGATGAGAGGAGGTGTGGAGAGCGCCTGCTTGCAGAACGCTGAGACAGGTGGAGCGGCGGAGTCAAGACAGAGCCAGGCAGGGGCCACGGCTGATGGTTACTGACACTTTGTCTAAGGGGGAACGTTGATGGATAAGATACTGTTGCAGTCTTAAAAGTATCCAAAGACTGCTTCTCAGTTCAAAGGAAGAAACTAATTACACAGTAGAGGCGCTGGCAAACCCTGAATGGAGGGCAGATAAGAGGGTGTGTTACTGGGAAAGGGTGGGTAGGCATTGCTTGTCCCAGCTGAAAGGCCCCTAGACAGACTCGTCGTGGCTTCTGCAATATTCCAGCTGAGGGGACAATGCAGCAGGCGGAGTTATTTTGCTGGGCTGGGGCTCGACCCAAGGCCCTTGTGTGTGTGAGTGGTAACCGCAACCCTGCCGAGCTATAGCTCCAGCCCTTGGCTTTTTGAGACACTCTTGCTCTGTAGCTGACGCTGATGTGGAACAGATGTTGTAGCCCACGGTAGCCTCAAGTGAATGACCTTACTGCCTGCCTCCCAAGTCCTGAGTGCTGGGATTACAGGCATGTACCACTGACACACAGTAAAGCCATGCTCTATATTTTAAAAAAGAAACCAAAAACATGAGATCTATGTTCTTTTGTTTTGTTTTTGTATTTTTTTTTTGGTTTTGTTTTTTTGGAGACAGGGTTTCTCTGTGTGGTTTTAGAGGCTGTCCTGGAACTAGCTCTTGTAGACCAGGCTGGTCTCAAACTCACAGAGATCCGCCTGCCTCTGCCTCCCGAGTGCGGGGATTAAAAGTGTTTGTCACCACCGCTTGGCTAAGAGCTAAGTTCTTAAGAAATACCAACATCCCCAGGCAGGGGTGGCACATGCCTCTAATCCCAGCACTTGGGAAGTAGAGGCACGTGGATCTCTGAGAGTTCAAGGCCAGACTGGTCTACCAGAGTTAGTTCTAGGACAGCCAGGGCTACCAAAGAAACCCCGACTCCAAAAGAAAAGAAAAAGCCAAAAAGTGGCTGTGGAAATGTTCTGGATGAAAGGAGGGAGCGAGCAGACAGGCAGGTAGTTTGCCTTGGAGGGGACAGTGGGGTGAGAACGTGACAGCCACTGGCAGCATGGCTTACCGCGGTGCCAGCGCACCTCATAAAGCTGGCAAATAAATATACTGTTGCTATGCAACAGAATAGACCTAGTTTTTTTTAAATGCATGCTAAGATGTTTACATTTGGATTACATATTACATTTAGTGTATGTGTGTGTGTGTGTGTGTGTGTGTGTGTGTGCCTGCGTATGTGCATGTGTGAGGGTCAAAAGACAACTTTTGAGAGTTGGTTCTAGCTTCACATCCTTCAAGAGAGACAAAGACATGTGAGCATGGTATGCACGTAACCCCAGATTTCAGGAGACAGAGGTAGGAGGATCGCAGCACGTTCAAGGACAGTCAGGTCTGCTCTGCAAGTTCTGGGACAGTCAGGTCTTATACAGCAGGACCAAAACAAAGACAGGAGAGAGTTGACTCGCAAACCAAAGCGAACAGGACAGACTCTAACCATAGGTAAACCCGGGCATAAAGCCTCCTAACTGCAGGGAACAGACGCTGCTCTGGGACTTACAGCGGGGGTCTCTCTCAATAGACTCACCGTAAACTGGAAACATCATAAAATATAACTACAGCATCTGTGACGGCTAGTCTTGTCCAGTTGGCACGGTAACGAACTTTGAGGCATGTTTGTGCGACAGTTTTTAGAGGGGGTGACGGACATGGGCTGAGCGCCAGTTATGATACTCTGATGTCCTTCCCAGTTAGGACGGATCACATCCTTCAGCTGTAGCCACAGCAAAGGCCTCCTGCCTTAAGAGGCTTTTGTCAGGGATTTTGCTGTGGCAAGAAGACAAGTAGCTAACAACCCAGTAAGCACCCATCACGCACCCTGCTCCTCTCCCAGGAGCATGGCTTAAGGACCAGGTTCAAAGTATGGCGCTGCATATTTGTTTTTTAACTGTGGGTAAATATCGCAAAATCAGAGTACGGTTTCTACTGGATGCCTGCCTGCACATTCAGGAGAAAATACCAAGTCAGACCATCATGTCAGGGGCCGTCTGTATGTCCAGATAAGACGTTTAATCTTTCAATCTCTCTGACATCATCTTCCAGGGTGTTGGTCGGACGCTGAGTTCTTGGATGGCGTTACGGAGAATGCCTGGCATGGAGCCATGAGAATAACTTTGGTCTCTAGAAGCTCAAGGCTGAGCTGCCTTCTGTGTGTAGCCCTTCAGCAGAGATAGCCAACATACCAGAGACCACTCGGGTTGCAACAAAAACTACACAAAGCCACCAAGAAAATCAACACCTTGAGTGTGCCAGGGAAAATTTTTCCAGGTTGGGAAGTTTTTGAGATGGGTCTTTCTGTGTAGCCCTGGCTGTCCTTGAACTTGCTCTGTAGACCAGGCTGCCTTGAACTCAGAGATCTGTCTGCCTCTGCCCCTTGACTACATGGATTAAAGGAGTGTGCCTTTCCTGGGAGCTGGTGTTGCATGCCTTTAATCCCAGCACCAGTGGTGTGTGCATGTGCCACGACCACCTGGCTTAGGCTGGGAAATCTTATTTCACAGACATCCGGGCATCAGAAAGCTCTGCGCGTGCAACCTACCTTTGCAGTTTGTATTTGAAGAATACCGGGCTGAGTGGCAGTAGAAGTGAGGACACAGTCAGGCTGGGGCTTGAGGGACCCTAGGAGAACAGTTCCTCTCAATGGGACAATGACATCACTGAAAATCTGAATCACTACTGGGTGCTAGACCCTGCGGATACACAGAGAGAAGAGACTTCCTCTGCCTGGCCTGTGAAACTCTGAAAAGGCATGAACCACCACAGCCCAGCTGGTTGTCTGGGTTTCTGTGTCATCCTGACAGGTGGAATGAAAAGTTGTTACAACTGTGAGAAGTATCTTTCTAGGAGACAAGTTCCTTTTCTGATTTGACACTTTTTCCTTCTCCCGCATTAGAGACCTGGGGAATTCCCATTTCTTTGTGGTCCGCTGTTTACAAGAGTATCCTTAGATTATCTTCACTTCTGTCAGACTGGTTACAAAATTGCACTAGGGTGATGCAGTGTTCTAGGAAATGCTCACAAGATGGCTATAAATGTCCCTTTCAGCCTTAGAAGTGTGCCCTTCCTGTCACCCTAATGCTCCTCCACTAAGGGTACTCTCTACTGGCACACCAGGAGAGGGACAGACAGGCTCCACTTCCTCCAGTATGGCAGGCACTAGTGTTCCTCGATGGGGGAAGTCCTTCTGTGTATATGCTTCTGTTTCTTTTTTTTGTTTTGTTTTTTTGGTTTTATGAGACAGGGTTTCTCTGTATTGTTTTGGAGGCTTTCGGACCAGCCCGGCCTCGAACTCACAGAGATCTGCCTGCCTCTGCCTCCCGAGTGCTGGGATTAAAGGAGTGCACCACCACCGCCCAGCCTGCTTATATGCTTCTTATTGGTTGATAAATAAAGCACTGTTGGCCAATAGGGAAGCAAGATAGGTGGGACTAGGAGAGGTGGAGGATTCTGGGAAACAGAGGCACAGTCAGTCACCATGCAGGACATGAGAGGAGTAAGAGGTCCAGATCCTTTCTCTGGTAAGAGAAGACCACGTGGAAACACTCAGATTAACAGGTATGGGTTAATACTTAGATCAGAGCTAGCCAACAAGAAACCATAGCAAACGGCCAGCAGCTTCATAATTAATATAGTGTCCTGCGTGTTCATTTGGAACTGACACGGCTCTGGGACCAGGCTGGTGGGAAGAATGCTCATTTTACATATGGGGCCCTCAACATAAGGCAAGAATTTCCAGGTAAATCTAACGAAAGCTTAAAAGGGATTTTAGAAACAAAAGAACAGAGACAAGCACAGCTTCTTGGTAGCAGAATTTTCTCAGGTGGGCTCTGTTTTGCTAGAGACAAGCAGAGATTTGCGCAGCCAGTGCTGGTGGGAAACTTACAACTGCCATGTTGGAAAGCCAGCAGCTATAACAGCCACCACTTTAATTTTAGCAATGTTGTTTGCCAGATAAAAGACACGTGGCCAGAAAAACATAAAGATTTACAGTGAAGTCAGATTCAGATGAAGTAAAACCTCTAAAAAGTTTATAGTGTGTTTAAAAATATACGTAGGTTTGGGAGAGAAAAGGAAACAGGATAGTGGTAACAAAGAAAGAAAGAAAGAAAGAAAGAGAAAGGAAGGAAGAAAAAGAAAGAAAGTAACTGAGTGTGGTGGTAATCCCAGCACTCTCTGGAGGCAGAGGCAAACAGATCTCTGTGGTTTCAAGGCCAGCCTTGTATACAGAAGGGGTTCAAGGGCAGCCAAAGTACACAGAGAAACCCTGTCTCAAAAAAGTAAAATTAAAAGATATAGAGTAATAAAAAAGCCACATAAAGATGTAAAATACACAGAGAGTCTGGATACTGTATGCTATTGTGTTGTCTTTGAATTAATTGTTGGGGAAGGAACAATAAATTCCTAAAAGACATTTTTGATTATCAATGTTGCTAAATTAATCCAATTTATATATTTTAAAAATGCTTTGGCTTCTAAATTTAAATATAAGGACAGGTTACTTGGGAAAAGAGATTTTGCTTGTGTTTCCACAGAAAATAAAAAGCTATGCATCCCTTCCAAATTTATATGGTTTGATGAAGCAAGACCCCTTACAGCAGTGGCCCAGGTCATCCAACATCCCAAAACAGCTGAGATAATACAGCTACAGACCACTACAGCCAGGATTCCTGGGTCTTCTTAGGATCCCCAAGACCGTGCTCCCTAATAGCAGGAAGTAATTTGGAGAGAACAATGCCCACATTCCCAAATATTGTTTATAAATGTTTGTTTTCATTTATATAGAGCTGGTTATAAATGGCAATGATCACAGTCAATCTCTTTCTAAAGGGATAAAAGGGAATATGATATAGAAATGAATACTTTGTATTGGTATGGATTCTCATTTGATACAAATTTAAAGTCAATTTTGTGTTATGTATATTTCTCCTCTTGTTTAAGTATTGTGTTTATACTGATCTTTTAAAATGTAATGCACAATTAAATACAGATTGTATATAGTCACCTATAATAGTCAGAACTTATAGTTAGGTTAGTTAGGTTTTCTAGATATACAGAAATGTATTTGAGATGGATATTCTTCAAACCTTTCAAAGATCTACAGAATATATGGCATTTAAATAGTTTAGGGTTTTTCCATGATAGTGAGACACAACTATTCCTGACACACGTTATATCTGAGAAGAAGATGGGTATCAAAGAAACTCATTATGAAGTTTGCTTTCAATGTGGCAAGATTAGCCATTAGGCAAAAAACTGCTCTTGCCTTTACAGTTTGATAGACAGGACATGCAGGACCCACAGGAAAGTGACTGCTGTACTTGATGGACAGTCCTAAAGGATTCTTGCTTCATGGAAGAGTCTGCCAGACATTCTACAGGACACACACAAAAAAATGACTGACAAACTTCCAATGCAGGCAGACAGTTTAAAATTTCCTACTTTGCTGAGAAGTCTACCAGACACACTGTGGCCTATTGGCTGAAGATGAATGCCTCAATATTACAGAGGAACTTCGGGTGACTGTCCAGG